TAGTTGTGGCTCACCGGCTCTAGAGCGCAGGCTCAGTAGTTGTGGTGCACGGGCTTAGTCGCTCCGCGGCATGTGGGATCTTCCCGGACCAGGGCTCAAAACTATGTCCGCTGCGTTGGCAGGTGGATTCTTAACCACTGCGCCACCAGGGAAGCCCCCTATAGCCTTTAAGTACAAACCCCAAGGTCCAACAGAAGAAACTGTACCACAGATCTCGGGCAAATGCCTGACAGCTCAGGAAACTAGCCTTGACTGGGAGGGAGTGGTAGGCCTTCCTTTAAACCCCCATCTCTCCCCTCCCACCACATCCTCAGAAGCTCAGGGGAGCAGTGCTTTCTAGGTACGGCTCCCATGCAGGCCAGCTCCTCTAGCTCTTGGTGGCAGGGGGACAACCACATCGGCCAGGGTTTAGCCAGCTGGGCTTTTCTGAGCTCATTAGAAACATCTTACATTCCCAGACAACACATTTGTCCCCCGTGAAGGGCCCACTGAGGATACAAACAGAAGGGACCGCTCTCCCCTCTCCCAGGTCCTAGTCCCGGCCAGGCTTCTACCCCTTCTTAATGGTTATTGACTTTTCCACTCAGACTCATGGACCTGGAGGAAGGAATTCTGAACCAACTGGGGTTTTAAGACCCTCATCGTTACCAACACCTCCCTCAATCTCGCCAACGCAAGGAACTCTTTGCCTTTAGAAAACTTAAGGGTAATTGATCCCAAAACAGATGTCCCTAGAACATTTTCCCTGAGGAGCCAAGGAAAGAACGTAGCATCTTCTCCTAAACCTGGCAGTCACGCTTGACCCCTCTTCTCTTCCTTCTCCCACACCAACCAATCAACAAGACTACAATGCACCCCAGTGTTCATAGCAGCACTATTTGCAATAGCCAAGACCTGGACAGATGAATGGATAAAGAAGATGTGGTATATATACACAGTGGAATATTACTCAGCCATAAAAAAGAATGAAATAATGCCATTTGCAGCAACATGGATGGACCTAGAGATTATCATACTAAGTGAAGAAAGTCAGAGAAAGACAAATATCCTATGCTATCACTTATATGTGGAATATAAAAAAATGATACAAATGAATTTATTTACAGAACAGAAACTGGGACTTCCCTGGTGGCACAGTGGTTAAGAATCTGCCTGCCAATGCAGGGGACATGGGTTCGAGCCCTGGTCCGGGAAGATCCCACATGCCACGGAGCAACTAAGCCGTGCACCACAACTACTGAGCCTGTGCTGTAGAGCCCATGTGCCACAACTACTGAAGCCCCGTGCACCTAGAGCCCGTGCTCCACAAGAGAAGCCACCTCAATGAGAAGCCGGCGCACCGCAACGAAGAGTAGCCCCCGCTCGCCACAACTAGAGAAAGCCCGTGTGCAGCAATGAAGACCCGACACAGCCAAAAAATAATTAATTAATTAATTAATTAACTAATTTTGAAAAAAGAACAGAAATAGACTCACAGACATAGAAAACAAACTTATGGTTACCAAAGGAGAAATGGAGGGAGAAGGATAAATTAGGAGTTTGGGATTAGCAGATACAAACTACTATATATAAAATAGATAAACAACAAGGTCCTACTATATAGCACAAGGAACTATATTCAATATCTTGTAATGAACTATAATAGAAAAGAATCTGAAAAAATATATATTTTATATACATATATAAAACTGAATCACTTTGCTGTACACCAGAAAGTAACACAACATTGTAAATCAACTATATTTTAATTTTTAAAAAGCTGAAATAAAATAAAAAAGACAACAGAGCCTACCTCAGTTGCTCCCATCTGATACATCTCTCCATCTCCACTGCTTCTACCCAAGTTCACGCCTCCATCCATCCTACTGAGATTACAACAGCTCCCTCACTATTCTCCCCACAGCTATCCTTGCTACATCTGAAAGCATTCTCCATACGCAGAGATTTTTCAAAAACCTGTTCCCAACACTCCCTAATTAAATTGCTTCATTGCCCTTGGGTTAAAGTTCACATTCCCTAGCGTGACTCACAAGGGCCTTCGTGACCTGCCCCTGCTTGCTTCTCCTGCTGCTTCTCTCAATAATGTCCCCACACTGTCCCCCAGTCTTATTCCCCAGATGTGTCATTCTCTCCAACCTCTAGACCTTGACATGTGTCTTACAGCCTTCCTCTTCCTCCTCTCGTCTCCCTGACACTCATCTCCCACCCAGATGTCAGTCCTCCCTGACTCATTCCCAAGGCTGTCCTAGAAGTCCCTCTTCTGTGCTCCCTAGGGCCGTGTCCTGGCCCCTGTCACTGAGTTTCTCAAATGGCATTGCCCTTGTCTGCCACTTGACCATCCCTCCCACCACACTATGAGTTCCTTGGGGCTGGGGGTATGTGCTGCTCACTGCTGGACCCCAGGACCTAGCGCACAGAAAGTGCTCAACAAATGTCTGTTTGATAGATAGGTGAGCGGAAGAAAAGACGCAGAAGAGTTGCTTCTCTCAGGCCAGCTGAGTGGTTCCTATCAGGCCCCAAGTCTATCTTACTACCGTAGCTCACCCCTGCTCCCAGTGGAAGCCTGTCTAGCAGCCACAGGGATACACGAAGAAGGTGTGAGCCAAGCATTCTGGACACACACCATGTGCGAAGGAAACCCAAGGGGCTGTCTCTCCCTGGGGCCTTCTGAAGAGGCCACGGAAAAAGCCATGGGGCCTGGCCCCCATCTGTGTGCCGAAAGAGAACAGATGGCTAACCAGCTCCCTCAGAGCTCCCTGGGGACAGGCAACGTGTGGACACAGTTGATGGATGGCCTGATGGGCAGGGTGGCCGCCAGGAGCTGTACCCATGGGGCTGGAGTTGTCAGGGTGCCCCACCCAGCAGCCTGGAGGAGGCGGGAAGACTCTTTTCTTGGCATGGAACTGGGATTAGAACTGCTGCCAAAAAAAGGAGCAGGAGGAAGAGGAGGAGATAGAGGATGAGAGCCGCAGAAGAGGCTGCAGCACTCCCACACCCGCTCCGGGGTCTGTCCCAGGAAGCTGGAATGCTGGGCTCATTCCACTCCCCTCTGCTGTGGCCTGAGTCCCCACCACCTACCCAGGTAGGAAAAGATACAGGGCTTCTCTTAACCTGTCAGAGAGCTCTAGGAGACTCACGAGGATGGCGCTTTCTACTACGTCCCCTGCCCGATCCCTCAGGTGGACAAAGACGTCCTCTGGCCACCAGATGGGTTTGCCCCACAGGGACGAGAACAAGCCAGCATTTCAGGGATACCTGCTGTAATGTGGAATCCACCAGGGCCTCCAAAGCTAAGCCATCCACTTCCCCAGGGATGAGGTAGCAGCAGCTAGCTGGGAAGGGAGAGTGGCTGGGAAATAGGAGATACCAGGATGATCCCTGTGCTGTAAAGACAAAACTAAACAGCATCCGAGATGCCAGGCCCAGGGCCCCACAGAGGCCTGTGCTGTGGTTCAACAGGGAGCTGGCAACAATCCCCCAGGGGAGATTCATTCTTTAAGAAGAAGAGAGTTCCATCTGTTAGCCTGGTAGAAAGCAGACAGACATGGCAACATGGTATGATTTTTGGTTCTGAAATAAAGACTACTCCCTCTAAGTTGCACTTCCCTGAGTTCAGTCTAGCCTGATGGCTAACACATAGTAGGTGCCTGATGTGTGCTTCCGGAATAAATGAGTGCAGGTCTTCCCCTGGATTCCACAACAGGCTCCCTTCCACTCACTACCCTTTCCTGACTAGCAAAGCTGCCTGACCCCACCAGCCCCAGGGTAAAGGAAGGCCGGGAACCCAGCTCCAGTGCTTCCCGCCAGAGCCTAACCCTGCCGCTCCCAGGCCCCCCGGGCCCGAGATGCTGCCAGGCTGAACAGCCATCTGAGCTTCCACTTCCCCTCCCCAGGAGAAAGCCAGGACCAGGACTCTGCTTGCTTCCTTAGCATTTCCTCCCACTTCTGACTTTGACACATCTGGCTGGTCACTTAGTGCTGAAAGGTCCTGGCCAGGCTATGCAGTGGTCAGGCTGCAGGGACCAGATCCGAACGATCCTAAAACCCACAGCCAGGACAAAGGGATGGCTAGAGGCCAACTTGTCCCTCCTAGACTGTCTCTAGGCAGAACACTCCAAACTGATATGTAGCCACCCTATCAAAAGTCCCCTGGGGTTAGAGATCTCCATCCCCTTAGAGACCTGCTCATACATCTAATCTCAGTCTCTTCTGCTCCTATGTCACCCCCTTCCACTGCTGTTTTGTGTGGGCAGGATAAGAGTTGGGATCTCAGGGACAGTCAGGTCATACTATCTGTGTAGGCCTGATCCCTCTTGCCTTTCCAGGGCCGTGCTTTTTCTTCTTCCAAGAGATAATAAAGACTCTTGGAGCCCGAGTGATCTTTATAAATCAGATCCAGTCACTCCCCTGCTGAACACCCTACAATGGTCCCGTTTCACTGGGATAAAATCTGAACTCCTACCATTATTTACAAGGTCTTCTATGATCTGGCCACTGATTATCTCTGCAACCTTACCTGGTATTCAGCTCCTCAGTCACTCAGGGGTAAAAGGAGGCCTGAGGTCATCTCCCCAGGAGCTACCAATGTGAGCCCTGATTTAAAATAATTTATCTTTTTTTCACCTCCAATATCTAAATAATGGAAATCCTATATTTTAGTCCAGATACCAGTCTGGACCAGTAGTAGCCCAGAGTGGCTCTCACATCTGGAAGTGGCACATGTTAGCCCCCATGCCCCAATTCAGGGCTCAGGACATATTAGCCCACCAGGGTATCATAAAGCTTGTATCGCTGTGTATCACACCTTCTGAGGTCACTCCTCCCCACAGGCCAGGTAAGTCATCCCAGAGCCCAAGGAGTGGCACGGCTTCACAGGTCACACCCTCACTAGGCTCTGACGGTAGCTCCTGGGTACCCCAATCATCCACCCAGGTACAGTCGCAGGAGATGCCAACATCCCCAATCCCTGCTTGCCCCCGGCTGCCCAGGCCAACACTCACATGGGCTGGCTCCCTGCGGGGTCCCTCGCTGCTCCGCAGCCAGCTCCGACTCAGCTCGCTGAGCTCCGGGATGGGCTGCACCTTGAGCTGCACGCCGTCCCCAGACTGCCGGATCATCTCCACAATCTCATCCCTGGACTTGCTCTCCACGTTGTGCCCATTAATCTCCACCAGACGATCACCCGGCACCAGCCCCAGGGCCAGGTCCTTGGTGCCCGCGCCGGGCTCAGCAAAGTGAACCACCCGCCGATAGACCTGGCCCTCAGGGCCCCGATCCAGCATGGTTGTGCGTCGCAGGGAGAAGCCAAAGTCCCCCGTGGGCCGTCGCTGCAGTTCCAGTTCCCGGAGGGCAGGGGGTAGCGGGGGCACCACGGGGGGCAAGCGCAGGTCAGCCGGGAACCTTTTAGTCACCAGCTCAGGGGCTCGGGACCGAGGTCCTGGTCGAGGGATGCCTGGGCCGGGGTGCTGCATCAGCTGTCCCTCTAGGGTCCTCACCTCCACCTGAGGAGACGGGGCGGCAGAGTGCTCTGAGGGGGTGGACGTTTCTGAGGCGCTCTCATCCCGGCTGCGCTGGGAGAAGGAGAAGCGCTTGACAATCATCTGTGAGTTCTGCTTGGCCAGGGAGCCGAACTTGGCTGCCCGCTGCAGCACCGAGCCCCGTAAGCTGCCTTCCTCACCCTTGAGGTCATCGCTGGAGCTGGCTGTGCTCAGGTGGCCCGAGTCCAGGATGACACTGCCCCTGTTGCTGTCGGAGTCGATGTCAGTCAGGTGCAGGTCGGAGCTGCTGGCCACCTTGATGGGGATGGGGTTGGAGATTTCCAAGCGTGTCTTCGAGTCACGCTTGGAGGAGCGGTTCAGGTTGAAGAAGCCACGCCTCAGGCTCATCTCTTCCAGGCTCCGCAGCTCCGCCGCTGACATCCGCTCCTTCTTCTCCTTTTTCTCCTTCTTCTCCTTCCGCGTGCCATCCTTGTCCTTGTCTTTCTTCATTAGGTTAAACATGGTGGGGTGCTATTTTTAGGGGTGGCACCCCAGAGGACTACGGGTGCTCAGCACAGGGCCTTCGTGCCCCACCTTGCCGCTGCAAACAGAAACAGAGAGAAAGGTTATTTGAGCAGAGCCTCTTTCTGTGTCTCCAATCCAGACACGGCCAACTAATGAGCACAGCTTTCCCTCACTGAGTGCCAGTTATGTGCCAGGTGCTCTGTTTTACACGGTACTGTCTCAATTAAGGTAATCTTCACAACACTGCTACGGGTAGGTCTGTCATTACCCCCATTTTACAAATATGGAAACGAGGTTTAGATCAGTTTATAAAAGCCCAGACTCCAAAGTCTGTCATTTCCTGTAATCCCTGAAAGACCCAGGCTTAGGTGTGCATGGTGGTGGCATCTGGGAGATCTAACCCCCTGGTTAGAGGATGCCATCAAGCCAACTTGGGATCTGACTTAAGATTCAAATGCAAGGGACTTCCCTGGTGGTCCAGTGGTTAAGAATCCACCTTCCAGGGCTTCCCTGGTGGTGCAGTGGTTAAGAATCCACCTGCCAATGCAGGGGACACGGGTTTGAGCCCTGGTCTGGGAAGATCCCACATGCAACTAAGCCCGTGCACCACAACGACTGAGCCTGCGCTCTAGAGCCCGCGTGCCTAGAGCCCGTGCTCCACAAGAGAAGCCACCGCGCGAGCCGCAACAAAGGAGCCTGCCTGCCACAACTAAGACCAGACGCAACCAAATAAGTAAATAAAAATATTTAAGAAAAAAAAAAGAAAAGCCACTGCAATGAGAAGCCCACACACCACAACGAAGAGTAGCCCCCGCTCACCGCAACTAGAGAAGAAAAGCCCGCACACAGCAACGAAGACCCAACGCAGCTAAAATTAAATAAATAATTTTTTTTTAAATTAAAAAAAAAGAATCCACCTTCCAATGCAGGGGACGCGGGTTCGGTCGGTGAACTAAGATCACGCGTGCTGCGGGGCAACTAAGCCCATGCGCCGCAACTACTGAGCCCACATGACACAACTAGAGAGAAGCCTGCGTGCCACAACTAAGATCCAACACAACCAAAAATAAAATAAATAGATAAATGAATATTTTTAAAAAAAGATTCAAACACAAAGGAAAAAGGAAATGGACTCTGTGCACCATCACCTCCCCATAGCCAATGTCCATTAAGGCAATAGGCATCACATGCTACTGTGCTCTTTCCTAAACCTGCTATCCCTAGAGCAGCAGCCTTAGCCACTGCCTGACAGAAGATCTCAAAGAACCAACACTTATTTAATGACTGCCACTCACCAGGCATAATGCCAGGCACTTTACACACACTATCTCATTTGAACCTCACAACATCCCTGCAAGGTAGGTATCATTATCTCTACTTTACAAATGAGAAAACAGGGCTCAGAAAATTAAGTATATGTTAGTTGTCACACAGCTAGTAGGCGGCGACTGCAGGATTCAATGGCAAATGTTGTTTTCTTTCTAGGGCCTGGGTGCCCAAAGTGAAGCAGGGAGGGAGGTAAGGGGAAGTTCCAGACTGAATAGAGGACAGACAGCTGCAAGGTGGGGGTGGGCGTGGGGTCTGCTGGATAAACAGGATCCTGAAAAGCTCACATCCTTTTCCCCAGACCAACACCTAAATATAGCCTCAGGAAGAAAGTCGTGGCAGCCTGAGAGAAAACCCCAGCTCCAGGGCTTATGCGCCTAGGGCGCCAACCTACTCCCACCCCTAGGCACACCCATCTGGGGACAGGATGGAGAAAAACCTGGTGGGGTGGAGTTGAGAGAGCCTTCCTTGTTCTAACCAGCAGGGAACAAGAAGGAGGCTGTACCACCTAATTAGAAATTAAATGTACTTTTTTCTTTCTCCATGAAGGCCTCCCGCTCTGAGTTCTAGACACAAGACCTACAAGCTTACCCCTTGCAGCAGCGAGCTCTTGCCAAGCCCTGGAGAGGCCTTTCCTCTCTGTGTACCCCACTGCCACAACCAAGCAGGGCATTCCAGGCCCCCCGATTCTACTGAGAAGGACCCCCAGCCCAGGTACAACGCCTAGGAAGGCATCAAGGCCAGAAGTGCCCAAGGGCCCTGGGGTACTGGCTAACTGCTTTCCCCCTGCCCAGCACCCTGACCCATGTGGCCCCTGAGAGATCAGAGTATCCTTTCTAGAGCAGCGCTGTCCACAAGAAATATAATTCAAGTCATATATGGAATTGTAAATTTTCTAGCAGCCATATTAAAAAAGGTAAAAAGAAATGGTTAAAATTAACTTTAACAATATACTTTATTAATGTAGATATCCAAAATATTGTCATCTCAACATGTAACCTATGTAAAAAATATTGAGATATTTTACATTCTCTTTTCCGTATTAAGTCTTCGAAATCCAGTGCACATTTAACACCTGGAGCACATCTCAATTCAGACAAACCACATTTCAAGTATTCAACAGCCCTGTGCTTGCGGCTATTGGATCGGGCAGTACAGTTCTAGAGAACTCTTGAGTTATAGAGCATATCCAAAGAGGTAGGAAATCTGGCCCAGTCATTGGTTCCCTGTGGACCTAGCAGGCACCCCTCTCCCCCTCTGACCTCCGTTCCTACCTGGTAAAACAAAGTTCCCTCTGAACTTTTTAGTTCTTAATGTTCCAAGCACAGTACCTGGGAGTGGGAAGACAGAAAATCTAGGGCCCAAGAAGTGCAAAGCCAGGGACAGCCTCGGCTAGCTGAGCCTGGACTGATTCAGGGTGAAGGGGAGCCTGGCAACAGGCATCCTCTCTTCAGGGCTCTACTTTAATATAGGGGGTCTCTCCCTCTCCTCCTGAACGCTGATGGGGGTATGGACAGACCTACCATATGCTAGGATGCAGGATCTTTGGTTGGTCACTGCTCACCTTACCTCTTGCCCATCACTACCTGCACTCTCTTAAAAGGCTAGTTTAGAAGATGGCTCCAGGGGGACATGTGGGGGAAATGAAGAGAGAAACCCACCTTGGGGACTTGGAGGGAACAAACCAGTATCTCAGCCTCAGCCCAACCACAGAGAACCAAACCGCCTACAATGCTATCCCACCAAGACACCTTTTACGGTCTCCAATTCTCACTCTGCAGTCCTTACCCAGTGCTGGCTCTTTGCTGGGGACTACATATCTGAGCAGTATCAATGGTACAAAGCCCCCAGAATTCTAGAATCTTTGGGCTGTCTTGGCAAAAGCTTGTCCCTCACTAGCATTGCATCAGGCAGAAACGACAGACAGTCACAGCAGCAGCACAGGGGGATAGCGCTGGCAGGAAATGTTAGAAGATCTGGTATCTAGGCCTGGATCTGCCAACAAAGCGCTAGGGGACCTTGAGCCTGTCACTTTGCTCAAGGTTGGACTAGATGATCTAGGTCTCTTCTAGCTATAAAATTCCAAATATTTAAGTCTCTTGTGGACATAAGTTATTTATTAACTTTCTACCAAAGTCACCCCTCTCATCCCAACCCTGGGGCTTTTGGAGACTAGGTCCATTTCAGCCCTTCCCTCATCAGCCCTGTCCTGCCACTGTTATCTACACAGCTCACAAGGTACCCCTTCCCCACTGTTGTCCCTACAATTGCCAGGCCTGGCTGTGGCCTGGGTTCTCTCCTGTGCCACATGTCTAGAGCTACCTGCAACCTGCCCCTCCAGGGTCAGACCTGCAGTATAGCTGCAGCTGCTCCTATGCATCTCAGAGCCCAATTCACCAGAGACCTGGGCCCTGTCAACTTCCTGTGGACCTTGGACTTTCCCGCATCTCCTGTCCTTAGGTCCAAAGTCTCCAGCAGCAATCACTACCTCCCCACTCCCATTCCAAGCTGCAGTTTCTACCTGCCTCCCCTTCGTCTCTTACCCCCCCACCGAAGGTAACCTTACAGTTTTTCTGACCTCCTTCTCTGCCTTTCACCCCTCACCCTACTCCAGGAGGCCTTTCCTAATTTTAAGTGGGGGGAAGGTCTGTGTGTAAATTAGGGTACGTACCTAAATCATCTTGACCCTACTATCCCCCAAATCAAAGCAAAGTACCACTGAATCAGTCAACTCAGCTGCTTTATTACTTTAAGACAGAAAGCATTTTGAGGGCAAGGACCTTTCAATTCAAGTATGCACCTATCAATTCATCAACAGGAGAAACAATTTACATATTCATATCATGGGATACTACTCAGCAATAAAAAGGAAACTACTACTGATACACACAATAGGGATGGATCTCAAAAACATCTGTTAAGTGACTGTAAAAGAAGACTTCGACATACTGGTATGGTACTTTTTATATGAATTTCTAGTATAGGCAAAAGTAACCCATGGTGAAAAAAAATCAGAACAGTGGTTACCTCTGGGAAGTGGGGGTGGAGTGGGAGTGGGGATTACCTGATAAAGGGCATGAGGGAACCTTCCGGGGTAATGTTCATGTTACATATCTTGATAAGGGTTTGGGTTGACACATGTATACATTTTGTCAATTGTCATCAAACAGTGCACATAAGATTAGTGCATTTCATTGTATGAAATATTCACTCAAAAGAAGAAAAGAACAGTAAACAAATATCGAACTCTAGTTAATGATATGTACGCTAATGTATTGGGGGTAACGTATACTGGTGTCTGCAATTTACTCTGAGATGCATCAAAAATATAAGATGCCTTGAGGGTTGGATCAAGGGATAAAGATGTGATAAACAAGGATAGTAAAGTGTTCACTGTAGAGTCTAGGAGATGGGGTGTTCACTGTAAAACTCTAACTTTTCTAAATGTTTGCAGATCCTTGTGATAAAATGTTGGGATAAGTATGTATTTATCAAGCACCTACTAAATGTAGGGGATATAAAGATAAATAAAACCCATGAAAGAGTTTAGGCTTCAGATGTCAGGTAACAAAGCTGAAAACAAATTCGGGTTAACAGCGATGCAATCTTGGGCAAGTCACTTAAAGCCTCTGTGCCTCTATTTTCCCATTTTTTTAATGGAAATAATAGTGCCTACCACATAAGGCATGGGAATTAAATGAAATATGTATATATGCCCTTCATACAATGCCTAGACCAAACTAAGTCCTC